CATCTTTTAGCTACTGCTTGGCTTATTTCATCTTTTAGCTACTGCTTTGCATTTTTTATCTTTTAGCTACTGCTTTGCATTTTTTATCTTTTAGCTACTGCATTGCACATTTTAGTTTTTAGCTACTTCTTTGCTAGTTTAGCTTTTAGCTATTGCTTTGTTCAGATTAGAGTTTTGCTCTGGTGTGCAACATTTAGCTACAGCATTGCTAATTTGAGCTACAGTTTAGCTTCTGTTCTATACTTGGTTAAACTTCAGTTTATTCAGCACTCAAATTGCATGTTAGCAAAAAATGCTATGCTCCTTAGCTTGTTTAAAAATAACGCTTTTGTCAATTTTGTTAGCTACAAGCATTGTTTCTTTTGGTTTTCCACTTTAGCTAGTTTCTAAGCTGCAGTGAGATGCTAAGAAAAAAAAATCTGCTGTTATTGTTGTGGAGACTTTAGGTGAACCCACGCAGTTTATTTCAGTAGCAGTGCATTAAGACTCCCACTCATTCTTGCAGATAGTCTCTCTGGAGCATTAGTTGGTTTGAATGGACAAAAACTGCAAGCTGGAGTTGAACCTGCAGGCAAACTTTTCCCCAAAGTTTCCCCAGACCCATTATTTTAGTTACCGTGACCTCTGCTGCTCGCTCTGTCCGCCCTCCAGGCTGAAGCTGGGGGAGAACTGCCTGGAGTAGTGGGCAGGTAGGACTCCCTGAGTGTAGGTCTGCAGCCTCCCCCTGGCCGAGGTGGGCACCGCGGAGAGAGGCGAGCTGAACGTCGACGACGTAAAAGCGTCGCCGTCTGAGTCCGTGCCCGCCGGGGAGGCGGCGGCTCCCGTCCCAACGCTGCCCCAGCTGCTGGCGAGGCGAGCCTGGTTCGCCAAGGCGAGCGCCTGGGTGGCCGAGGTCGCAGCAGCTGCCGCCGCCGTGGCCGCAGCAGCGGCGGCGGCAGCAGCGACGGTCTCCGCGGTGCCAGCAGCACCGAGCCCCGCCGACACCAGGCTCTGCTGTCTAGTCCGTGCCTCCACGGGCGGGCTCTCCTCCTGGTTCGGAGTCTCCGCACTGTCCTGCACGGGTCGCCCGTCCAGGGAAATGTTGCTCAGAAAATCCAGCGCCGCCTGCCTCCTCCTCGGGTCTATGCGTTTCCGCGTCTGCTCAACGCTGGAGTGCTTCAGCTGAAGCGTGGATGTGTTGGTGCTCGTGGCGGCCGCCATAGTCCACTTCCTGTGTTCCGAGACCCCCCCGCAGCAGCGAGTTTACCTGCGGGACATCTGTGTTGCTGCAGTCGTGGTCGCGTGCTGGTGAATGGCGGTGCCCGTCTTTTAAGTGCATGCGTTAAAGTGGGTGAAAACAGGGGGGTCACGTGGGCTCAGCACTGTGGCAGCACGGGGAGAATTTGGACCAATCAGCTGCGAGGATACATGGCCGCTTCTTTCCACCTTTTCCTCCTGAAGCTCCTCTCCCACGTCAACTTTGCAGCTTGTTGCGCGCCTCAGAGGCTTTATAAAAATCATTTAGCATCTCATAACTTTGTGAAAACTTCCCTCCAACAAATTCACCTTAGTCTCTGCAGCAGGCCTGATTTTTTTTTGTTTATAGCCCAGATTTTACTGTGATTGGTGAGGCTCTTGTTTTCTCAACATTAATGGTTTTCTGAAACGTGGGAGTCAGCATATCTGAAGCAACTGCGCCATCTGTCTACCTCACATGCGATGCGGATGCCGCTTTATTTTTAGTTTTTAGTTTTAAGTCCATACACCTAAATGTGCCATCTAGTGGAAAAAGGCAAGGTTGGAGTGTTCGGTGAGTTCTCGTTTAGTCTTTTTAGCTAGTAAAAAAAACAATAATCCTTACATACTCAAATTAAAATCCTAGCATTCGTTGATATTTTACTAACAATCAAGTCGAGTCAAATATATTTATAAAGCGCATTTAAAACAGCAGCTATTGCCAAAGTGCTTAACAGTAAAATTAAGGCAGTAATTAAAGAAGAAGAAAAAAGATGTAATCAAAAGCATAAAAAATAAAAACCACAAACAATGAGAAACAATAAAATACTAAATCAAATCACACTGTGTTAAACGTTAGAGAAAACAGGTGTGATTTTAGGAGAGATTTAAAAACAGGAAGTGAAGTGGCCTGTCTAATGTTGAGGGGCAGATTGTTCCAGAGTTTAGGGCCCTTGACTGAAAAAGCCCGATCTCCTCTGAGCTTCAACCTGTTTTTTGATACAACCAAAAGCAGCTGGTCAGATGATCTCAGCGCCCGAGAAGTATGGTTGAAGTAGGTCAGAGAGGTGTGAGGGTGACATTAATGCACTTAAAGGTCAACAGGAGAATTTAAAAATCTATTCTGATGTCACACAGGGAGCCAGTGAAGGGAGGACAGAACTGGTGAAAAGTGCTCAAACCTACAAGTTCCTGTTAATAGCTGAACTGCAGCATTTTGGACGGTGTTGACTCCAATCAAAGATCTTGCACAAGTAGCGCACGGAGGATGTGTTGTCAATGAATTCAAGTCACAACAACAAATTTTAGTTTTATATCTATAAAATTAGCAGAGTTTTAGCCTTTTTTGTTTATTTGTTTCCTCACATCATTTGGCTATGGCGGCCAACTTAAACAGGGTAGATCCCAAAAGTCAATCAGCTGTAGAGGCACATCCAGTGATTACTGTCCAAGAGTTTTATTGAGATCGGTCCAGTGGTTTATGTAACACACCGCATATGAGACATGAGCATCGTCACCTTTTGGTGTCAGATGATAAAAGGGGGGAGCGGTGGCGCAGAGGTTAGAAGATGGGCCTGTGATCAGAAAATCGCAGGTTCAACTCCCGGTACCATCAACATCAAAATGTGTGCGGAAAAGGTGGAACACCCACACCTCGCCCCACCCTGGGCCCCTGAGCAAGGTCCCCATCCGCCCCGCAAGCAGGTCTCTCTTGAAAATAAGTTCTCGTGGCTCAATGAGACTACCTGTATAAATAAAGGGTAAATGAAAAATTAAGCTATAAAAAGATGGCTGCAGAACAAGTTCTCCATATATTTTGTCTTAAATAAATATTTTAAAAAAATCTGAGATCAGCAACTCATTCAAAAAGGTCATTGATCTTATTTAACATTGTGTTACATCATTCCTCTTATTTTCTTATTTTTCATATATACCTCTTTAGAAACCAAAACAACCTTACTCTTGCAAGATCTGTCTTTATTCTAAGTAAATGCAGGGTTTTTTCAGGTTCAGCTGTGTAAGTATATCTTTTTCATGATTCACAGCCCATTTCAGTTACTCTTGTTTCAGTTTGATTGAAAAAAAAAATCCTATATGTAGTAAAGCTGATTGAAGTTGTGCAGAACCTGATCTAGTCAAGTCAAGTCAAGTCAGATTTATTTATAGAGCACATTTAAAACAGAAACTGTTACCAAAGTGCTTAACAAAAATATCACATCATCAGATAAAAAGTAGCAAGATATATTTACAGCACATGGAATAAAAATATAAAACCAAAAACAATTAAAAACAATGAAATACTAAATCAGATCACGTTGTGTCAAAAGTCAAGGAAATAACAACAAAAAGCATAAACTCAGTCAGAAACAATGAAATACTAAATCAGATCTGATGACCTTGTGTTAAATAGGAATAATAACAAAAGCATAAACAGAAACAGCATCAATGAAAAACCAGATCTAAAGCTGATCACCTTGTGTTAAATGTCAATGAGTATAGATGTGTTTTTAGGAGAGATTTAAAGGCAGAGACTGAGGTGGCCTGTCGAATGTTGATGGGCAGATTGTTCCAGAGTTTAGGGCCCACGACTGAGAACGCTCGATCTCCTCTGAGCTTCAGCCTGGTTTTTGGTACGGCCAAAAGCAGCTGGTCTGATGATCTCAAAGCCCGAGAAGGAGTATAAGGATGAAGAAGGTCGGAGAGGTATGATGGTGCAAGGCCGTTAATGCACTTGAATGTCAGCAGGAGAATTTTAAAATCAACTCTGACACGCACAGGAAGCCAGTGAAGGGAGGACAGAACCGGAGTAATGTGCTCAAACCTGTGAGTTCCTGTTAAAAGCCGAGCTGCAGCATTTTGTACGAGCTGGAGACTAGTATCGTACTGTTGAAATGTGACCCTTCAAGAAAACAATGTCAGCCCTATTATGATTTTCTGAAATTATAAATTATGCAAACTGCAAGTCACTCAATTCTTGAATTTGTTGAAACTTTTCTCAAAATGAAGTATGGAAGCTCATGCCACAAAAAAAACAAATAAAAATCATAACTTTGGGATTTCACAACTTTTAGAAGTTACTTGATTTGCTTCCTCCGGTTCTGTTTGTTGAACAGCAAGGGGCTACATTTATTCTGCTAAGCTGTCAAGACCAAGAAAATGAACAAACTTGCACTTTTGCTTTTTAACTAAACCTTTAAATAAACAGTAACACAAGTTTCTAAAAACAGACGTGAACAAAAAAAAGTTACCTTTTTATGTCTCTCTGAATGTCAACTTGTCAAAAACTCCCCACTACAGGGCAAAGAGTGACCTCACTAAGACAAAGGGAGAAGAAAACCAGCGTGTGCACACATAAAAATAGATTTCACAATTTGGATGCTCGAAGTGGACCTTTGTTACGCCAGAAAATAAATTCAGCTAAATCTATTTCATGTCACAGGAAAGAAACAAAGAGCAGACACAGAAATGTTTTCATTATTTAGCTTGAGTTTAACAAACGGACAAAAGGAATTTCTCCAGACACCATATTTCAAACCCAACACTCTCAGACGATCACTGGCTCTCTTTAAACCATGTTTCAGAGAAATAGATTAGATATTGCTCTGCAGAGCTTTTAATCATATATGAATCCAGGTTTTGTCTTTAACAGAGATATGATTACATCTCAGTGATGTAATGGAAATGCAAGGCTGGAGCGAGTATATTTCATATACTAACAAGAGTACTGCATACGGCACATAATATGTCCACTGACAAACTATTACCAGGTGAATGTCTTAACCCCCACATCGAAAACGTTACTAGAACCATCTTCTTCCACCTGCGTAATATCACTACAATTAGAAACATCTTATCTAAAAATGATGCAGAAAAACAGGTTCATGCATTTGTCACATCTAGACTGGACTATTGCAATGATTTGTTACCTGGGTGTCCAAATACTTCTTTAGAAAGTCTTCAGTTAATCCAAAATGCTGCTGCCAGAGTCTTAACTGGAGTTAGTGGGAGAGATCATATCTCTCCTGTTTTAGCTTCTCTCCACTGGCTCCCTGTCAAATTCAGAATTTAATTCAAAATCTTACTTCTAACCTACAAAGCTCTCAACAACCTAGCTCCATCTTATATATGATATCTTATTGTTCCATATTTTTCTAACTGAGCACTTGGCTCTCAGACTGCAGGTTTACTTGTGGTTCCTAGAGTTTCCAAAAGCAGAATGGGAGGAAGATCTTTCAGTTATCAGGCTCCTCTCTTGTAGAAACAACTTCCAGTTTCTGTCTGTGAGGCTGACATATTGTCCAGTTTTAAGACTGGGATTAAGACTTTCTTTTTTGATAAATCCTATAGTTAGGGTTGGCTTGTTATGCTGCTATAGGCTTAGACTATTAGAGGACAAATTGACCTAATTTCCTTAAAAGAATTGCTAAAATTAAATAGTTTTCGTTTGATATTATTTCTATCTTAACATGTGATTCTCGACCTGCCATTGTGGATCTGTTCCTCTCAAACCCAGTCGGTCAAAGAAGATGTCCGCTTGTCCTGAGCCTGGTTCTGCTAAAGGTTTCTTCCTCTTGAGGGAGTTTTTCCTTTCCACTCTCGCCTTCATGCTTGCTCAAGATGAGAGTTCTGTGATGGAGATAAATTCAAAGCAGCCTGCTCCTCATATAAATAGTGTTAAATTATTATTTTTATATATGAATGTTTCTGTTCAGTGCTCTGAGATGACTTCTGTTATAACTTGGCGCTGTATACAGTAAATAAACTGATTTGAATGGAATCGAATTATACTGAAATAAAGCAATCTATAGCAATGACCCAGACCTTTTACAACATTTGACCTTGATTTGTGACCTTGACCTTGAGGCTAGGGTGATGAAATGTGTACACGACACTCCGTCTAGTGCTAATGCATATGTGTGATATTTCCTTAAATTATCTTGAGCAGATCAGAAGTTATGGGCGGGACAAAAGAAAGTTTATGGAAGGAACGAACATACAGACGTAAGAACGGACGGAGATTCCATCCATCCATTATCTTTTACCCGATTCTTCCATTTTGGGTCACGGGGGTCACCGGTGCCCACGTCCGGCAATCACTGTGCGAGGGG